AAACTCAATTCACACGGCATGATTTGAATCGCGGACAGCTCCAGATATTTAGCACGCCAAATATCTCGCAGGCATCGACGACTCATCGGCGATTCTCTCAGATTGCGTCTTTGATAGTTCACACTGTGTGACTGTCACTCACGTGCACGAGCAGCGATTTGCCTGTGATGTCAGGCATTTGTCGGCGAGCCAAAATCGGGGCTAAAATCACACAGTCTGAACTAGGCATAAACCTTGTTCAGAGCCATAATAGTTTATTAACTCTGTGATTAAACACAAAGCTGACAGAAATTAAACTGGCTGAATGGAGTATAAACTAACCTGTGCATTATTCAGACACTAGATGGCGCCAAACAGACAAAAATACAAATGAAAACAGCTGATGGAGTATACACTAACCTGCGCATTATTCAGACACTAGATGGCACCAAACACTCAGAAACAATACTGAAAACAGCTGATGGAGTATACACTAACCTGCGCATTATTCAGACACTAGATGGCGCCAAACAGACAAAAATACAAATGAAAACAGCTGATGGAGTATACACTAACCTGCTCATTATTCAGACACTAGATGGCACCAAACACTCAGAAACACTACTGAAAACAGCTGATGGAGTATACACTAACCTGCGCATTATTCAGACACTAGATGGTGCCAAACAGACAAAAACACAAAGCTGACAGAAACAAAAAAAGAGTAAATAGAATAAAGTGACATTAAAGTGACAGAATATCTGCAGAGGTTTTCACTCATTTATAGTGTTTTACAGACTGAATGTTTGTAAACAACAATTTCTCACATTTGTCCAGTATCATGTAGTCATGAGCCTAATCTGATGCATTTTTCACACACACAGAAAACTCTTTTTCCAAACCTATTCACATTACGGTGTAGATCAATAGGCTTCAGTAATTTAAGGTTGTGTTGAAGCTCCTTTGTGGAGTTCTGCAAGCTTTAATGACATGTTAGAGGAATGGGAAGGTTTGCTGGTTGAATTAGAGGTGTGTTGTAGATTAGGATAACCTTACAGAACATCTTATCATTGAATCAGTCTGACCCTTCATCACACACTGTGTTTCTCTGCAGGAATAATGTGTCACAGTTCACCTGATTACCCACTGATTGCTGAGATTTAATCAAAACGTTTAGGTTTTGTCTTTAAAGCCCTCAATGGGATGTTTTAGTACCAATAAAGCAGATTTTACAGCGCTGGTTTTGTCAACAATTAGAGGATTATAAGTGAGAACGAAACACATTGTTACATGATCTTGTGATTTAAGCTCCGGTTCAGTGTTTTGTGTAAATTTCTAAAGAAAATGGATCTTTTATAACACTAACCTGCGCATTATTCAGACACTAGATGGCACCAAACAGACAAAAAAAAAACAATAAAAACAGCTGATGGAGTATACACTAACCTGCGCATTTTTCAGACACTAGATGGTGCCAAACAGTCAAACACAAAGCTGACAGAAACGAAAACAGCTGGAGTATACACTAACCTGCGCATTATTCAGACACTAGATGGCGCCAAACAGTCAAAAACGAAAACAGCTGATGAAGTATACACTAACCTGCGCATTATTCAGACACTAGAGGGCACCAAACAGTCAAAAACGAAAACAGCTGATGAAGTATACACTAACCTGCGCATTATTCAGACACTAGAGGGCACCAAACAGTCAAAAACGAAAACAGCTGATGGAGTATACACTAACCTGCGCATTATCCAGACACTAGATGGCGCCAAACAGACAAAAACACAATGCTGACAGAAATGAAAGTGACTGAATGGAGTACAGTTGTCCCTCATTTATCTTTACTCGCACTGCTAGTGATAGAAAATGTATGTTAATTTGGCTAATTTGACATACTTTAAAGTGTCATGGCCATATTGTGACTTTTAAATCGATTATAATATAAACCGAGGGCTTGTTCTATATTTACATCCAGATCCTCTTGTATCTGAACAAACCATATGATAACTTAAATAACATTGTAAATGACACAAAATATATTCTTTTATAAGTCATAAAGCTTCAAAAGCCTTGTAATAATCATCAGAAATGCTCCAGGGGTTTCTAATTATATTACTATATATACTTTTTATATTAAATATATCCTAAAATGCTCATAATAATAGGTGGGTGGAAACAAATGCACAGTTGAGGGCAGATTATTTGCCCCTCTGGGAAATATTTATTCTTTTTCAAATGGTTCTCGTGTGAAATTTTTTTTTCCTAGTATTTCCTATAATTTTGTTCCTCTGGAGAAAGTCTTATCTGTTTTAAAGCCATTTTAAGGTCAATATTATTGGCCCCCTTCAGCAATATTAGTGTTGGATTGTCTCCGGAACAAACCACTGATATACAATGACTTGCCTAATTACCCTAACTTTACCCTAATTACCATAGTGAAGCCTTTATCACCTTTAAGCTGAACACTAGTGTCTTGAAGAATATCCAGTCTAATATTATGTGCTGTCAACATGACAAAGAGAAAATAATCAGTTATTAGACATGAGTTATTAAAACTGTTAAGAAATTTCTCTGTTAAACAGAAATTGGGGACAAAGCTGTATGTACAGCATTTCTCGATGAATGAACGCTTCTGCAAATAAGTATTTGTGTTATAAATCCTCTAATTTAATTCATCTGTCCTCCACAGATTGAGTTTTGAGCAGTCATGCAGGCCCACGAGCTGTTGAGCCAGCTGCGGATCCCTGAACTGTCGGAGGTGAGGGATTATCTGCGCAGTTTCTCCACAAACACACTCCTCGGCATGGGTGCCTTCACCGCCGTCACTGCATACTGGTACGCCACGCGGCCCAAAGCCCTCCAAGCACCCTGTGACCTGCGCATGCAGTCTATAGAGCTTCCCGTGAGTAAACACACACACACACACTTCTTGGGATGCACCAAATTTTCAGTGGTCAAATGCAAACACTTTCAGAAATAAAGGTGCATCATACAGATGTGGTTTCCGGAATCTTTTATTTCAGTGCATCCCTGCTATCTAATGTGCTTGCTGCAGTCCCAGATGTGTAAATGAAGCAGTGTTGTCTGTCCATCAGGGTGGAGAGTTTGCTCGTCGAGGCGCAGTGTTAAACGGAGGACCACTGTTGAGCTTCTACTATGAAGACGCCAAAACCATGTATGAGTGTTTCCACAGAGGCCTGAGGGAGTCAAGTATGTACACACACACACACACACACACACACACACACACACACACACACACACACTAATGCTGTGTCCCTAATTCGCATATTATTCATCCCTGGTAGGTTTTGAGCCAGGCACTCTTCAGTAATATCTGCACTTGACTGATGTGTTTTAGCTCTGACAGACTCGATAGTCGCTTGGTGAAGAACTTTACGAATGTTATATTCATGAACAAACACATACATTACACCCTAAAGGAAAACACACGAAGCATCACAGGGCTCGACCATTTTGGGAGCAAATGCGCCCGAAATTTTACCTATGCGACTTCAAAATATATTTGGGAGCATGTGTTGACCTAAATTGGCTGTAGTGTATATATATGTGTGTGTGTGTGTGTGTGTGTGCGTGCGTGCGTGCGTGCGTGCGTGTGTGAGTACTGGGTTGCAGTTGGAAGGGCATCTGCTGTGTAAAACATATGCTGGAATAGTTGGCGGTTCATTCTACTGTGGTGACCCTTGATGAATAAAGGGACTAAGAGAAAGGAATATTAAACTGTTGCCAAGTTTGTGATGTCTTTTATATTTCCTTTCAGAAAACGGTCCATGCTTGGGATCCAGAAAACCAAAGCAGCCTTATGAATGGCTTTCCTATTCAGAGGTATGACGTATTTCAATTATTCACCCTCCTGTTTTTCTTTTCCAATGTTTCCCAAATGATGTTGAACAGATTCAGGAATTTTTCTCTGTATTTCCTAAACTATTTTTTCCTCTGGAGAAAGTCTTATTTGGTTTATTTCGGCTAGAATAAAAGCACTTTTTATTGTTTAAAACCCATTTTAGGGTCGATATTATCAGCTCGCTTAAGCAATATTAGTTTTGTATTGTCTCCAGTTGGTGTTTCTGTGTGGAGTTTGCATGTTCTCCCCGTGTTGGTGTGGGTTTCCTTTGGGTGCTCCAGTTTTCCCCACAGTCCAAACACAAATTGGCTGTACTGTATGTGACATGAGTGCGTATAGATGTTTCCCAGTACTGGGTTGCAGCTGGAAGGGCATCCACTGCATAAAAGAAATGCTGAATAGTTGGCGGTTCATTCCGCTGTGGCGAGCTCTGATAAATAAGGGGCAAGGCTGAAGGATTATGAATGTATGATGTTTGTTTGTTGTTGTTATGTCCTCTTCTTCAGGTGATCGAGCGAGCAGAGCATTTAGGATCAGCGTTTTTGCACAAAGGACACTCGAAAAGCGGAGACCCGTACATCGGCATCTTCTCCCAGAACAGACCAGAGGTCAGACGTTTACCACCGTAATGCATCTTCACTGCTGTTTTGGGCGTGTTTTTGACTGGGTTTAATAATATATTTAATTAATTTACATTTTTCAGTAATTAAATGGCCATAAAAAAAACAGATTGATTTTATTTCTTTTTATTAAAATATATATAAAAGATTTAACTAATATAAAAAGCATTCATTTTGAATTTTATTTATTTTAAAATTATAAAATATTATTAATTTATAGTTAGTTGCATAAATATAATTGGTAAAAAAGTGTGTTTGTTATATGGGCTGTGTAATCGTATGTGTGATGACTTATTTTATTTTAATAAATTACATTATTATTTAAATTTTGTACAATAATTAGCAATTAATAAATCATTATTTAACCATTGTTACGTAACCATTATTAAAGTATAGTTTTATTTGTGTGTGTGTGAGTCTCAGATTGCAGTAAAGTATTTAGTTCTCTTCTGTGTGTGTGTGTGTGTGTGTGTGTGTGTGTGTGTGTGTGTGTGTGTGTGTGTGTGTGTGTGTGTGTGTGTGTGTGTGTGTGTGTGTGTGTGTGTGTGTGTGTGTGTGTGTGTGTGTGTGTGTGTGTGTGTTTACAGTGAAAGCATTATTCAATTGTCTTGGGTCTTGGTGTGTGTGCTGTTTGTTTGTGTGTGTCTCAGATTACAGTGAAAGCTTTATTCAGTTCTCTTCAGGCTCTGCATGTGTGTGTGTGTGTGTGTGTGTGTGTGTTTGTGTGCGTCTCAGATTACAGTGAAAGCATTATTCAGTTCTCTCCAGTATTTGTGTGTGTGTGCTTATGTGTTGTCTAATGATATTTCTCTCTCTGCAGTGGACGATTGCGGAGCTGGCCTGTTACACATACTCTCTGATATCAGTCCCGCTGTACGACACACTGGGCACTGAAGCCATCAGCTACATCCTGGACAAGAGTACGCCCAAGTTCTTACTTCATCTGCAAAAGTCAGCTCTGTGTTTAATAAACCATATTATCAGGCAGTCAGTATACACCCACTGGCCACTTTATTAGGTACACCTTACTAGTACCAGGTTGGACCTCTTTTGCCTTCAGAACTGCCCTAATTCATCGTGGCGTAGATTCAACAAGCTACTGGAAATATTCCTCAGAGATTTTGCTCCATATTGACATGATAGCATCACACTGTTGCTGCAGATTTGTCGGCTGCACATCCATGATGCCAATCTCCCGTTCCACCACATCCCAAAGCTGCTCTATTGGATTATTATATGGTGACTGTGGAGGCCATTTGAGTACAGTGAACTCATCGTCATGTTCAAGAATGGCATGATTGGCGCTTTATGACATGGTGTGTTATCCTGCTGGAAGTAGCCATCAGAAGATGGAGACACTGTGCTCATAAAGGGATGGACATGGTCAGCAGCAATACTCAGGTAGGCTGTGGCGTTGATGCTCAATTGGTACTAATGGACCCAAAGAAAATCTCCCCCACACCATTACACCACCACCACCAGCCTGAACCGCTGATACAAGGCAGGATGATCCATGCTTTCATGTTGTTGAGGCCAAATTGTGAGCCGAGCATCCGAATGTGTCAGCAGAAATGGAGACTCATCAGAGCAGCAACGTTTCTCCAATCTTCTATTGTCCAGTTTTGGTGAGTCTGTGTGAATTGTAGCCTCAGTTTCCTGTTCTTAGCTGACAGGAGCGGCACCCGGTGTGCTCTTCTGCTGCTGTAGCCCATCTGCCTCAAGGTTGGACGTGTTGTGTGTTCAGAGATGCTCTTCTGCAGAGCTCGGTTGTAACGAGTGCTTATTTGAGTTACTGTTGACTTTCTATCAGCTGGAACCAGTCTGGCCATTCTCCTCTGACACCAACAAGGCATTTGAACTGCCGCTCACTGGATATTTCCTCTTTGTCAGACCATTTTCTGTAAACCCTAGAGATGGTTGTGCGTGAAAATCCCAGTAGATCAGCAGTTTCTTAAATACTCAGAGCAGCCCGTCTGGCAGCAACAACCATGCCACGTTCAAAGTCACTTAAATCCCCTTTCTTCTGATGCTCAGTTTGACCTGCAGCAGATCATCTTGATCATGTCTACATGCCTAAATGCATTGAGTTGCTGCCATGTGATTGGCTGATTAGAAATTTACATTAACAAGCAGTTGGACAGGTGTACCTAACAAAGTGGCCAGTGAGTGTACAATATATATATATTCATAAGCTAATGACTGCTGTTAATGACAAGATATTATATATTGACTGACTGATAATACAGTTTTGTCTTTATAACCATGATCGCTGATGCAAACAGAGACACCCAGCATGACAAATCTACACGTGAATCAGTTTAATCAACTTGTAAATGAATCAACTTCTAAATACAGAGAGCATGTTTATTTATATTAGTGCTGGGCACAGATTTAGGCATTAAGAGTGTTCAACATTATTTTAATATTATACTGTGTGTGCGTGTGTGTGTGTGTGTGTGTGTGTGTGTACTTGTGTGCTTGTGTGTTTGTGTGTGCAGCCTGTATCTCCACGGTGGTGTGTGATGTACCTGAGAAGGCTGGTCTGCTGCTGGAGTGTGTTTCTGGTCGTCAGCACAGTGTGAAAACCCTGATCCTCATGGCAGACGTGGACGCAGATCTCCAGAGCCGAGCGCAGCAGTGCGGCATACAGATCATGAGCCTGACAGATGCAGAGGTCAACCATACACTCTCTTCTCAACACTGTGTGTGTGTGTGTTTCTGTCTGGCTGGGTGTGTCTGAGTGTGTGTGTGTGTTTCTGTGTGTGCTTGTTTCATTTGTGTATGAGTATGCACGTGTGAGTGTGTGTGTGTGTAAATTACCTCTGTATGAGTAAGAGTGTGTGCGTCTGTGTTTTTTGTGTGTGCATGCCTGTCTTTGTTTGTCTCTCTGTGTGAGTGAGTGAGTCTCTGCGTCTGTTTTTATGGGTCTGCATGCTTGTATGTGTGTGTGTCTGTGTGCGCAAGAGTGTTTTCATTCGAGTGTGTGTGTTTCTTTGCAAGAATTGGTGCATCCTTTAAATTGAATTTAGATTATATACAAGTAAAATCTGACCCTCTGCTTCTGCTTGCTCAGCCGGCACTCGAAACAGCGACCTTAATTTAATCCACTGTGCAGACCACTGAGATTTTAGCTTTAGTATTTATTGAATATTTACATTTTTCCATTGTGTCTGATTCATTTTAGATGCTGTTTAATTTGTAATCGTCCTGTCTTTGTATATCTTCATGATTTAGGGTCCAGTGTGCGAGTCTCTGCATTATTAGTGTTGCAGTTCTGCTTTTCTGCTCATGTATGAAGAGGTTTTCGTATTGGCTGTGTTTGCTGTTGTTCTTCACCACAAACCTCACACCCGTCTGCAGACTCTTCCTCTTTTGCTGAACAGCTTCTGTCTCCGTCATTCATTTGAATCCGTTTCTCTTTCCTTTTGCAGAACATGGGCAAAACTCACCGGCGGCAGCCTGAGGTCAGTCCTGCTTTCACTTTCACTTTGTCTACTGTGTGCTTTGGACAGTTTAGATTGCAGTGGCATGCAAAAATATAAACACCCCTTGCAGAATTGCTGAAATCATTTCAAATCAATATTTCAGTCTGACCATTCGCAATATTCACATCGCAGGATATACTATGCTGAGTTTGTATTATAATTGATCACTTGCATGCTTTTATGAGGCCATACTGATTTTAAAAGCATTCATGCATAAGAAATGGCAGCTTTATTAGCTATAATAATGATTCATGTTTATTTCAACTGTATCTTGTTCTTTACTGTATTTATCTGTGCTTGTAGATTGTTTATTAGATTGTATGCAGATGCACGCCCACTGCAGAATCACCCAAATCCATCTAAAATGCTCAACTCTTTCCAGAAGTCGTCTGGTGAAATTATAATCACATCACAATATATATTGCAGAATCACAAAATATCGCAATGTTAGATTTGCAGCCCTAATTTTAACAAATTAAGAGAGAGCATTTAAAATGCATGATATTTCTTTATGTATTATTGTCCTGGGTAGGATATTGTACATCAAAATATGTTTTCATAGACAGAAAAATAGCTGAATTGACTCCAATAACCCTGTGTGAAAGTAAACTCTGGCTTTAAACACTGTAAACAAACCAGACTCGTCATCACAAAGCAAAAAAACAGAGGTAAATCACCATCAGCTGAACACAGTATTAAAAACCAAGGGTTCACACACTTTTGCATGGAGTTATTTTAATAATGGCATTGTTATTGTTTTTTCTTTTGAATTAGATGTATATATATTTTAGCTAAATGTTGTGTTTAGGACAGTACTACATAAAGGAATCATGCAAAATGCATGTCATTTCTTTGATTTGTTGGTTAAAATTATTCACATCTTGACTGATTCTGCAAGTGGTGTTTATAGCTTTGTTTTGTATGCAATAATAAAAGTCTCAGGTCACTTTTCTATACTACTTCCCATCCGTTTTAAAACTCTGTAAGCATTAAAGTCTCTTTATATTCTGTATTTGCAGCCTCCTCAGCCTGATGACTTGGCTGTTATTTGCTTTACTAGTGGAACCACAGGTATGAAGACACTTGTGTTTGTTTTAGTTGATCCTGATTGGTCAGTTATTAAATTTAGAGGCTTAAATGTGAAACTGTTGTCTTCCTGGTCACACTTTACAGTAAGGTTTCATTAGTTAATGTATTTACTAACCTGAACTAATTATGAACAATACCTGTACTGCATTTATTAATCATAGTTCAACATTTAAATTCATGCTAGTTAACTATAGTCACATTAGGCACTTTGAATTAACATGAACTAACAATGAACGACTGTTTTCATTACCTAATGTTGACTAACATGAACAAATACTGTAATTAAAGTATTGTTTATTGTTTGTATTAACTAATACAACCTTACTGTAGTGTTTCCAGTTTCATTAGTTAATATTAATGCATTAACTAACATGAACTAATAGTGATCAATACATGTACAGCGTTTATTAATCATAGTTCACGATGTACTAATGCGTTCTTAAATCCCAAACTAGTGTTTGTTAACATTAGTGCACTGTGTGTTAAGTTGAACTAATGACCATTGACTGACTTTAATGTATATTAATAGATGTATATTACATTGTTTGTTTGTGTTGGTTAATATGTTGGCTAACATTAAATAATGCAATGCAAACTCATTGCAAAGTGTTACAGCAACATGTATAATTATTTACCATATAATCATCCAATATATCCCTAAATTGTGTTTTTACTGATTTTCACTGCACAGTTCTGTATGTGAAGCGTCTTGTTTTATCACATAATAAAATAAAGAGTTTTGTTTGTGTCTGTGTTGTGAATATCTGCTGAATCTATTGTGTGTTCCAGGAAATCCCAAAGGAGCCATGCTCACACACAGGAACATCGTGTCTAATATTTCTGCCTTCATCCACGTCACTAATGTCAGTGCACACTCGTTTATTTGTTTATGTTTATGAGTTTTCACAATAGTACTGACATAAGACGTCTTAAAAAAAAAAAACTAAACAAAAAAAAAAAGCTTAGAATATATATTACACAGGATTACCTCAAATAAAACAGATCAGACAAAGGGGTAATAATATTGCAGATTTTCTAGATTGTAATAATATTGTAGTACAATGGCAATGTTCCATTCAATATTACTGTGTGTGTGATTTGTTTGTTTGTTTGTTTGTTTTTGTTCATTTATATTTGCTTTTTTTAATTAATATTTATATGTTTTTATTTATTATTTTTATATATTATTTTTTATTTAATTATATATTTTACTTAATTATTTGTTTATTTTTATTTATTTGTTTTAAAAAATATTTAATTATAATTTTTGTATTAAATTTTTATATTTAATTAATTTATTTTTATATATTGTTTTTTGTTTAATTATTATTCTTATTTATCTTTTGTTTATTTATTTTTTATATTTTGTGCTTATTTTTAATTATTTAATTATAATTTTTTATTTATTAATTTTATTTTAAATTGGTTGTTTATTTATTTGTTATTTATTTTTAATTATTCAATTATAATTTATTTTTTTATTAATTTATTTATTTTTAATTGTTTTATTTATTTATTTATTTTATTTTTTTACTGCTGCTCTTTTTTTCATTACTTTTTGTTAAAAAATTACCAGGTAACTTGGTGTTTTTGCTTTTTGTTCATTTTTTTCCATTATTTTTTCATGTTAGCATTTTTTCCATAATCTTCATTAATGTAATGGTTAAAAAACATTTTTATTATTGAGTTTTGTTGTTGTTTTTAAAATGATTAATCCATTTTGATATGTTGCATAGTATCGTAGTGCACATATTCAGCTAGAATAATGACACTGATGTGAAAGATGTTGTCATTTACCTGTATTTTCTTCTCTGCTTTTCAGTCCACGTGTCCTCTCAGCTCTCGGGACTCACACATCTCCTACCTGCCACTGGCGCACATGTTCGAAAGAGTCGTACAGGTCTGCTCTCTTTCTGTTAACTAAACACTCTCAAAGGTGCAGTATGTAGGGGTCAAGACATCTAGTGGTTAAACTGGGCATAGCAGTTCAAATCCAACATTTTGAAGAGGAATTTTTTTTTTTTTATCGGGAAACTATTAGTGATGCACACACAGGTTGCCAGGTTGACAAAAACAGGCGCGAGCATGTCTGATGATTGAGCCTGAAGGTCTAAAATTAACAAACTTTGTATGCATTTTTTTGTATTTATATCGGAAACAGTTGTCACCTATACAGTCCTTACACACTGAGTCCGATGCATATAAACAAAGGTTTTAGAGACTGTGTGTAAATTTATTTGACACAATGTAAGGTTAAATTAGTTTTTTTACCATGCAGAAATTTTGTATGAACATATCAGATTTAGTGTGCAATGACCTTTTTGCTGTAAGCTGCTCAGCTAATGCTTATGTTTGTAGTATTTATATAAATAGCTAATTAAAATCCACCTCATTATTAATTTAAACTCCAAACCTCCGTCTCATTTTTGAAAAAAATTACACATTGTCCCTCTTCCCACCGGTAAAAGCCAGCAATAACCAAGAATGCATGATTATCTGCTGTCATGGCTTTGCAATCAGTAAATGTGATTATAATGGAAGTCAATGGGGCAAAAACAGCCCTCAACACAACCAAAGGGTGGTCAATCTGAACAATGCACACAAGGGTTAAATATCTGCAAACTTATCGTGATGTTTTCTGCTTTAGAAGAGTCAAAAGTGCACATGCAGCACCATTAAAATCACTCCTGCTCTTCATGTTGTCCTGCGGTTCAGGGTGTGGTTCTGCTTCACGGCGCGCGGATCGGATATTTCCAGGGGGACATTCGTGTTTTGATGGATGACCTGATCGCTCTGAAGCCCACCATATTCCCTGTGGTGCCTCGTCTGCTGAACCGCATGTTTGACAAGGTGAGTCCGGCAGTGTCAGTCCGCTTATTCGACAACATGGGGATTTATTTTATGAATGAGCTGAATTAATGGTGACGAATGGATTAAATGAAAGCATATGCAACCATTAAAAAAAAACAGAACTATATTAAATAAAAGTAATAACTTTTAACTTGTATTTAATATCTACAATGCAAATCCAATTAAATTCACTTAGTTTGGTAAACAAAGCAAGTCTCTCATGTAATATCTCTACTAATAGACTGTATTGTGAATAAATGATATTAACATTTTCATATTCGTCAATAATATTACTGTAATTAATTTAAAAACTGAATAAATATAGATTTACACACATTTGCTCCTAGTAATGGCTGTCTGTTCTCTGTCAGATCTACGGTCAGGCAAACACTCCCCTGAAAAGACGCCTGCTGGAGTTCGCCTTCAGGAGGAAAGAGGCCGAGATGAAGAGCGGCATCATGAGGAGAGACAGCATCTGGGACAAGATCATCTTCAAGAAAGTGCAGGTCAACAGAATCAGCATCTTTCATTCTGTAAACTCTGTAAATATGACAGAAGTCCACATTATTCCTCCTGTGAAATCTGAATTATTTTACAAACACTTCCCAAGTCTAACTAAAAACTGACTATGCTTAATAACTCGTGTCTAATAAGTCGTGTCAGTAGTGTGCAGTGTGTGTAATGTGTGTGTCTGCTGCCCCCTGTAGGCCAGTGTTGGCGGCTGTGTGCGGATGATGGTCACTGGAGCCGCTCCAATATCAGAACCCGTCCTCACTTTCCTGAGAGCTGCTCTGGGCTGCCAGGTACACAAACAGACACACGCACACACACACACACACACACACACACACACACTGATTCCTGGGTCACTCTGAGGGAAATGTTGTGTCTCTGCAGTTTTATGAAGGATACGGACAGACTGAGTGCACCGCCGGCAGCACAACCACATTACCAGGAGACTGGACAGCAGGTCAAACACACACACACACACACACACACACACACACACCGAAGATAGAGACACATGCATACACTCTACACACATACTCATGCACAGACAAAGACAGACTCTCTTTCTCTCTCTCTCACACACACACACACAGAGAGACAGACGCACACACACACACTTAACACATTCCCTACACACATGCTCATTAACTGCACAAACTCAGTCTCACACACATACGCACACACACTCAACACAATACACACATACACACCGATACTACACTCAAACAAAACACACACTCACTACACACAAATGGACACTAACTACCTACAAAGTCACGACACACACATAAACATAAAAAACACACACATGCTATAAGCACACACACACACAAGACAGTCACACTCACTACACATGCAATAAACAAACACACACAGTCACACTCACTACACACAATAAACACACTAACTACACAAACTCAGTCACACACGCATGCAAATTCACATACACTACTTACACAAACTTACACACTCACCAACTACACACAAACATAGACACACTCTTTTCCTCTCTCTCACACAGACTCACTGGCACAACACAATGCACTCATTACACACACACAAACATAGTCACACTCACAGTACCATTTAATACACACACACACACTCAATAAACACACCAACTACATACAATCAACACAAATCCACACACACACACACACACACACACATCCCACCAACACAGACCTACAAAACTTTTAAAGGCGTATGTGTGTGTTCAGTGACAGCGCATTTAAAGAATCTTGTAAATTAGCGTGTTTATTTGCTGCTTCACTTTTGGATATTCTATTTTAGTAATTTTGTAGTGTGTGTGTCTGTGTGTGTGTGTGTGTGTGTGTGTGTATAGGTCACGTCGGAGCTCCTCTGCCCTGTAATGACATCAAACTGGTGGATGTGGCAGAGATGAACTATTACGCTGCTAACGGAGAAGGAGAGGTGTGTGTGTGTGTGTGTGTGTGTGTGTGTGTGTGTGTGTGTGTGTGTGTGTGTGTGTGTGTGTGTGTGTGTGTGTCTATACTGTATGTGTCTGTCTGTCTGTGATGGTGTTTCTTGGTCATGTTTTGTTATAGTCATTTAGATGTTTAGATTGCATTTATTTCTTCAAGTTACACTTTATTTTAAAGATTTGCAAATGACAATAAAGAAAAAAACATTAAGAATAAAAAATAAAAACATAACAGAGAAATAAAAATAAAATGATATACTTTAAAAGTACTTTCAATTAAAGTTCCTGTTTTCTATCCTTATATTTTGTATAATTTGTAAATGCAACAAGGTTATTATTGTTGTAAAATGTTTGTAAAATGTTGTATTTCAATTTGTACAAACTGAAAACGAAAAATAAAAATATTATGGTAAAAAAAAAAGTTCCTGTTTTCTAACTTAAGAGTTAGAGACTTAGATCCAAAGAGTAAGACTTAAAATCATTTTTGTTTACATTTATTACATTTTTATTACTATTTAATGTAATTATATATTATCAGATAATATAATATTAAACTGTAACTTCATAAATTTTTACTTATATTGTCTTGTTTTCACAAATAATGTCAAAATTAAGTGATTATTTTAGTTATTTATTGGAAAAAGTCACTTAATTTTGATGCATCATTTCTGAAAATAAGACTATTTTTTGCTTGTCTAGAAAATGCTTGTAAGAAAGTGTAAGAAAATTTGGCCGTGTAAGAGAATTTCACATGTACATTTTCAGTCATTTGTGTATCATTTGTTGTTGCATCAGGTGTGTGTCCGGGGTCCCAATGCTTTTAAAGGCTATCTGAAAGACCCAGAGAAGACGAAAGAAGCTCTGGATGAAGAAGGATGGGTTCACACAGGAGACATCGGACGCTGGCTGCCGGTACTTCATGCTCACTCTGTGTTAACAAGCACATTTCACTAGGACAGGGGTGCCCAAACTTTATTATGAAGGGCCAAAAATTAAACTTGATTGAGGCCTGTGGGCTGAAGGTTAATATACCAAACTGTTTCACATTAAATATTCCATGAGTTATTTTCTAATTCATTGCCTGATAATTAAAAACTACAGAACATTGCTTTAAATTATATGAACTATTTAAAAGTAAAATGAACTTATTACAGTAAAAATAACACAGTGGAGTTCAATGCTTAATATTTAAGCTGCACCTGCCTTTGCGAAACAAACAAAACATTACATTACATGTGAAATGACGATCTCTGTCAAAGATATTGACCTTAACCACCACCCTTCATTCTTCCTCTCTTCGCAAATGGGATGGTGGGCCTAATCAAAGGTTTGCATGGGCCAACTTTAACCGGTTAAAATATGTACAATACATATATGACTGTGTTTCCCTCCAGAACGGCTCTTTGAAGATCGTAGACCGTAAGAAGCACATCTTCAAGCTGGCTCAGGGTGAATACATCGCTCCGGAGAAGATCGAGAATATTTACATCAGGAGTGAAGCTGTGGTGCAGGCCTTCGTGCATGGAGACAGTCTGCAGGTCAGGAGGATATGATAGAATAATGGGCGAGAATTAGGGTTCACATGAAAATTCTGGGACAGCACTGGAAAATTTTGAAGGCAGACGTAGGACAGAGGATAGAACTATCCAACCATTCATCCAATTTAAATTTTATCTAAATCTATTTTATTTAAATGTTATTTTTATTCATAAATTTTTTCATTTATATATTTTTCATTTATTCATTTTTATCCAAATTAAATTAAATTTAATTGATTTTAATTTAATTTTTATTAGTTAAGTTATTCATTTATTATTATTTATTTATTTATTCATCCATCAATTCATTCTGTTTAATTTTGATTTTGTTTAAATATATATAAATTTAATTTTTTAATTAGAATTCATTTTTATCAAATTAATATCTTAATTGTTCAGTAATGCATTCATTAATTTTATTTATTTATTAATTTATTTATAATTTTGTTTTTTTATTTAATTTAAATACAAATATATTTATTCATTTATTTTATTTATTTATTCATTCTATTCAAATGTAATTAATATTTTATTTTAAAATTCTGGAGGCACACAACACAAAAGATAAAACTATCCATCCATCATTTAAAAAAAATGAAATACATTTAATTAATTAATTAATTAATTAGTTTATGTATTTATTTATTTATTAATTAATGTATTTATAATAAAATTATTTTTTTATGAATTTCTAATTAATTAATTGTATTTAATTATTTGTTTTTTAATGAAATGTATTTAATTAACTTTTTTATTCAATTATTTATAAATGTATTCATTTTTTTATTCATTCATTCTATTTTATTTTATTTAATTAAAGTAATTTTAATTTAATTGTAGGTTAGTTTCATTTTTATTTATACCTTTTTTATATATAATGTCTGGTCCTACAAAACTATTATTATCATTACATGTGTCTGAGCATACAGTGAACAGAATATATTATAACCAGAGTTCCCATGTCCTTTTTGGCTCATAATTTAGGCCATTATTTTTTTTACTTTGGGGGCAAAAACTGGATTTTTGGTGTCCAAAAATTCAGTGCATCTCTTGTGAAAATGTAGAGTTTAATAGATCATCCTCTGCTTCTCTCCAGGCGTGTCTGGTCGCCATCATTGTGCCAGATCCAGACTTTCTACCCGGCTGGGCCAAGAAGAGAGGAATAGAGGGAACATATGAGGATCTGTGCAAAAACAAGGTAGAAAACACACACACACACACACACACACACACACACACATACCAGATTTCCTCCATATCATTATGAGTGCAAATCAATGTGTTTTCAGGACATAAAGAAAGCCATTCTGGAGGACATCATCAAGCTGGGTAAAGAAAGCGGCCTGAAGTCTTTCGAGCAGGTGAGTTTAGTCTCCATTTTGAAATATGGGTGTAAATGATATAATACATTTGGCAGATACAAATACTTTAATACATCATTAGATTACATCCACAGGAAGCTGAATTAGTCCTAATGTCACCCATTTTCTGTTTAAAGTACACATGACATCAAAACTGACCATCGGAGTGTCCCAAATCACACACTTGTGCACTGTTCTACACTGATTTGCAGTGTAAATGTATACAAATGTCCCAAATTACAGACTTGTGCTCTGTCCTATGCTTTGTTCTAGTGTAAATGGGGTATTTGTGCATCACTAATCATATATTATGCACTATTTATGCAGTATAAATAGTGTAGGTTGTGCATTCACACTGAAAACTACAGTATAAAAAGAGTAAGGCTGCATTTAACTGCAGATTCTGATACCTATATCGCATCTGATTATTTAAATCACCCGTAAGCACATTACCTAATGCTGTTTTCCTCCTCCAGGTGAAGGACATCGCTCTGCACAGCGAGATGTTCACCATCCAGAACGGCCTGCTGACGCCAACGCTCAAAGCCAAGCGCGCAGACCTGAGGAACCACTTCAGGAGTCACATCGACGAGCTCTACGCCAACATCAAAATGTAGAAAACACGCAACCAAACACTCGAGAGGATCTGCGACGACACTCGAGGAATACAAACACACCAAAAATACTGCTTTAAGAGGGACACGAGAGGAAAATCGGGTCATTAATAACTCACTAATTAAATCTGTAAGACCGTCGTTCATCTTTAAAATAAAAGTTAAGATGTTATAGATGAAATGCGAGAGATCTCTGACCCTCCATACACAGCAAGGGTCCTGAAATGTTCATTCAGTCCCGAAAGGCACCAAAGATATCCTCAAAACAGTCCATTCGGTGGATCAACCACAGATTAATGAAGCTACCAGAACACTTTTGTGCACAAAAAACAAATATAAATATAATAAATATTTATAAAAAAAATAAAAATAAAAATAAATAAATATATATATATATATGTATATATATATATATATATATATATATATATATATATATATATATATATATATATATATATATCTTCTCTTATCTATCTTCCATCTTCCAGCATCAACGCTTCACTTTTATTGGGTGATGACAAGCTTTGCCAGACTGAATTGTAGATCTGTCGGCAGCGCTTCAGTGGTGTTGCTCGCTGGAGGAGTTGGGAATTCCACGACTTTTCAAGCGCCAACGGTAGTGTCAGCCAATCAGATCGCTTTATGCAAATACCCCAGCTCAGACTGTAGCCAATTGCAGACTAATTTCATTGGCTGGCACTGCTATGACCAACAGACACGCCCTTTAGTCAAGCGTTGACACTGAAGCCCTGCAGGCGTATGTGTGCTGCACTGTGAACGTACAGCAGTGGTTACTGGTTTCAGGGTAAACCACGGTAAACTTCCTAACAGTTAATAGTACTGTTCAAATTTCAAGAAGGTCGCTGGTTCCAGTTTAGGCTGGGTCAGTTGGCGTTTCTATGTTGAGTTTGCATGTTCTCCCGTGTTATCGTGGGTTTCCTTTGGGTGCTCCGGTTTGTCCCACAGTCCAAACACATGCGCTATAGGGGGAATTGATCAACTAAATAGGCGGGTTAGTATGTGCGTATGAGTGTGTATGGGTGTTTCTCAGTACTGGATTGCAGCTGGAAGGGCATACGCTGTGTAAAACATATGACAGATTAGTTGGTGGTTCATTCCACTGTGGCGACCCCTGATTAATAGAGACTAAGCTAAAGGAAAATGATTTTTTTAATATATAAATTAAATTACATCAATAAAATATTAATTTAATAAAATTAAATTGCAGTGAAGATAACTGTGTTCAGCTTTTATAAAGCAGCTTTGTGAGGTAGTTTTCTCAAGAGCAGGTTAAACAAACAATAGCTTGAATAAGAAAATCAAATGTACTAATATAAACAAACAAAAACACACAATAATACAAACATAAGTACACAAATCCAAAATTCAAGGATCCGTATCAAAAAATGGGATAAATCTTCAAATTTTCGATGTTAATTGTTCATTTTTCAGACACAGAACTGGAATAAGTGTGTTTGACATTGCTTTTTTTTAGCATTGTCAGGTCACAAAACCTTAATAATAGCCTTAAATAGAATAATTGTGTTTATTATATTAGTTATTTACATAAATAATAAATGTGAAATGACATGTTCATGCGGTTACATCTATATGTAATACAATATATAATAAAATATAATACAGAAGTCTTCTTCTAGCTTATGACTTCAAATGTACGACTGTTCTGTTGATGTTTTTGGTGCCTAAGCTGAGCAGAGAGCTCATGTTTAATCTGAAGCATCTCAGTTTGTGTTAAAGCTAAATGAAGCTCTTATGGTTTAATTCGGGTGAGTAATTAATGACAGAGTTTTACGTTTTTAACGGTCTCTTCAAGAGAAAAAGAAGAGGATTTCTAACCAATCTAATGCTGTCATTGAGGACTAAACCAAATGAATTTAAATAAGCCAAACATGCTCAACAGAGTTTGAGGTGTCTTGTATAACTCTGAGTTACACTGCGAATAGTCTCTCTTTCTTGGTATTTTTGTCTAGATATTAGGATTGTGGAAAGTGCACTAAAATATATATATATATATATATATATATATATATCTATCTATATATATATATATATATATATATATATATATATATATATATATATATATATATATATATATGTACGTACGTGCGTGCATGCATGCATGCATGCATGTATGTATGTATGTATGTATGTATGTATGTATGTATGTATGTATGTATGTATGTATGTATGTATGTATGTATGTATGTATGTATGTATGTATGTATGTATGTATGTATGTATGTATGTATGTATATATATATATATATATATTGAAGAATGCTGATTACTGATAGCCATCCACTTCTATCGTAGGAACTAAAATTTTACTTTTGGGTGGACGAATATGGCAGTGGGATCAGGAAAATATATTTAATTTGAATAGAAAAACGAGTTTATTTTTCTGAATCTTGATGTTTGTTCAGCAAGTATGTAAAAACTCACAGTTATTGTAGATTTTTAAAGACTTACACTGCAAAACAAGCTTGGAAAACAAGGAAACGGCTTAAATGTCCGCTTAGTAAAATAACCATTAGTGTTCCATTCAGCACAACACTACATTCATATACTATGCTGTTGACTGTGTAAGTGCATAGTGCATAGTGTGCCATTTGAGACGCAGCTTTTGTCTTGTTTTTAGTCCAAATATCTAAAAACTCCTAAATCAAGAAGCAATTTCTGGACAAGCAAAAATATAGCCATTTTTTTTTTTAGATATAATCTATAAAAGTGAAGTGAGTTTTCTACTAAAACTAGCAAAGTAATCTGCCAATGGGGTTATCAACATCATCTGATGTCAAAAGGAAACACAGGATTATTCCCTCACCACATTGGTAGATTATTTAGTATGTTTTAATGCTAAACTCACCTCAGTTTGACTTGTTATTTCTTAAAACATGACTATATTTTTTGTTTGTGTAGACCAGGGGTGTCCAAACTCGCTCCTGCAGGGCTGGTGTCCTGCAGATTTCATTTCATCCTTGCAGGTGTGCTGAGGCAAGTCGGTTTCTAGAAAGCCTAGTAAGAGCTTGATTAGCTAGCCCAGGTGTGTCTGATTGGGGTTGGAACTAAACTTTGCAGGACACCGGCCCCCCCAGGACCGAGTTTGGACATGCCTGGTCTAGACCAAGGGTGCCCAAACTCGGTCCAGGAGGGTGGGTGTCCTGCATGTTTTAGTTCCAACCCCAATCAGACACACCTGAACCAGCTAATCAAGCTCTTTCTAGGCATACTAGAGATTCCCAGGTAGGCATGTTGAAGAAAGTTGGAGCTAAACTGCAGCACACCGACCCTCCAGGACCGAGTTTGGGCACCCCTGCTCTAGAAAGTGCTTCTTGATTTAAGAATTTTTGCATATTTAGACTAAAAACAAGATGAAAAAAGTAAGGAAAGCCATTTTTGCTGTGTAAATTTATCTAAAAAAAAAAACACATTTGACTTCATTTGTCAGACCAAGTACCAAAACACTCTCGCAGCCAATCAGAAATAAGGGGCGTGTCTGGTGTCTATAATGAAGAGATCAAAAAGGGGCGGAGTTAAGTTGTGTTATGAGTGTGATTGTTGTCAAACATCAACATTTGTGGGTCTAAATCAGTGCGGTGTATCTTTAACACGTCATTTTGCTTCTCCGCTAAATCGTTTTAGATATTTTAGAATCACTATATTTAGATCAGCGGTGTCCAAACTCGGTTCAGGAGGGCCGGTGTCCTGCAGATTTTAGTTCCAACCCCAATTAAACACACCTATATAAGCTAATCAAGCTCTTTCCAGGGATACTAGAAACATCCAGTCAGGTGTGTTGAAGGAAGTTGGAGCTAAACTATGGAGGACACCGGCCCTTCAGGACCAACTTTGGGCACCCCTGAACTAGTAAAGGCTTAATTTAAGAATTTTTGCATATTTGGACTAAAAAAAAAGTAAGAGTTTTATTTTATTAGTGTAAAGGTATCTAAAGAATACTTTTGACCTCACTCATCAGACCAAGAATCAGAAATCAGTGACGTGTCTAGTGGAAATACCAAAAAGCGTTGGATTAATGTTGTGTTATGGGCGTGTTTGTTTTCAAACGTCAACATTTGTCTGACACAATTAGTGCAGTATGTCTTTAACATGTCATTTAGCCGCTCCACTAAATGATTTGACCTATATTTAGACATTTATACTGGAAAACAAGGCAAAAATGCTGAGGAAGAGTCTGATTTTTTGTGGTGTACACTTATATTGATCTCACATTTTATGTGTGTATGTGTGTGTATGTGTGTGTGTGTGAGTGTGTGTGTGTGTGTTTGACAAATATTGAATATGTTCTCAGGGAAATATGTGCCTTATTAATAAACATCAGCCATTTTTGAGTGAGCGATGAGAGGAAAACACACATGCGCACGCACACACACACACACACACATGCGATAATAATGTACCGTGAAGAGCCAAATCCAACTAATAGATCACCGTTTGTGTCTTCCAGCAGATACATGAATAATCCAAAGCCAAGAGGGTGAATTCCTTCAAGATGTAAGGAATATGTAGTTAGTTTTTTAGTTAAATGAGGGCCTTTATTCCAGAACAACACCAGCAGAGCTCACTGTAGTGTGTTAATATTTGTTTGTATGTAATTGTTACATATCTGACTGTAAAGCAGCTTTAAAGCAGTAGTGCCTTTAAAATTCAATTGTTATGAAATGTTGTGATGAATGAACTGCTGCTCTGTTTAGTGAATAAGGCCCATTGAGTTAAACACAGCCCAGTGGTTATTAATAAGCCATATGAAGCTTTATGAGCGTCAGGTCTGATATGATTTGCTCATATCTCTCATTATGCTGTAACAGCATCACAGAAGTTTCCACACGTGTCCTCATGTTTCACTGCTTTAACTGTGCACAAGTTGTTATATGCTTTGTTTTATTTGTGTGCGTGCTTGCTTGCGTGTGTGTGTAACTGATGTAGATCAGCCAAATCAAACATAAGTTATGCCTCGTTTTATTTGTGTGTGTGTGTGATGACCTGAAACACAAGTGCTCTTCAAATGACTGACACACAGATCTGCCGTAAATGATTAACGTGAATGTTCCATGTCAGAAATGTACATGATTGAAATTAAATCTGATTTATGATTAAGGTTTAGCAGTGGGTTATATCAGCACTGTTTCTTATATTGTGTTGTCAGAATGAAGTCACGTGACTGGAAACGGTACGGTTTGCACTTTATCTTAATGATGCATCGATTCAATTAGACCGAAGTTGGTATCACTTTATAAGAACTACACACTATGAATCGTTTACTAAGCGTTAGCATCTAGTGAACTGATTAATTGTTAAGCATTAATTCTACATTAATAAATGTTAGTAAGCAGTTCATAACTGCAGCTACAAATGCTGTATTCTTGACTTATTAGCACCTATATAATGTGCTTAATAATTGTATTTTCATACTTAGTTAATGATTTATTTTTCATTACTAAATTAAGTATCGCATTATTTACAAACCACTTGTATTTAAGAGTAGCTAAGGGTTTTTAGGATCATTCTGATTATTAAACTATTGAAATCAACGTTTATATGTCTTATTATTCAGTCTAATATGTTAATTAATGATTTATTAACTCAACTTCATGCAGTTTTGTGTCCTACTCTAAAGTGAGGACTGTTTATGCTTTATAAATCTCTTATAAATGACAAATAATTGGCCTGTTCTGTGCTTGGCCTGTCACATTATTAGTGCGGTAAGCATTGCCTAAATCAGTTTTACATGGGTGTAAATTGTAACTAAATAGATAGCTGCGTGTTTTACGAAATGCTGTATTAAATTTGAACATGCATGGCTTTTCTTTTAGCACTCATATGTAGACATTGCATGAAACATTCTGAAAATTTACTTGAAAGTCTTGGAAAGATCATGGAAAAGTCATGGAGTTTTAGCTGTGAAAATGTGTATGAACCCTGTAATACATTTATTTAATATCTGTTATTGATTATGTAGACGGATTATTTTAGAGGAGATCCGTACATATGGAGACTGCTGAATTATTATTGTTCTGTATTGGTGCATCAAATGTAGCCGAATGAGTCCAAAATCAAACAAACAGTGCTCAGGGGTACCTTAAATAATGTGTTGGTGCTCTTTAGGCAAGAGATTCATCAGAATAAACAGTAAAAATCAGTCCAAGGCACTCGAAAAATGTGGAAAAAATATTAATAATCCGTTATAGGCATGGCTTTTCCTTTTCCTTCAAAACCTGTTATGGTTGAGTGGCTTTGACTGGTTTTTCTGTTTAGCCAAATAAGTGTCTATAAAATGAACATACTTCTGAATTTTAACTTAAGTTTGTAATTTAGAGCATTTTTCCACAATAATCGATCATTTATTTACCAAATCTTAGAGTCAAAACTTTGGCATTGAGTTGTCTAAAAAGGTAAACAAACATGTCTGAACTCACAGCACCCTTTTTATTAAAAAATTTTTTAATGCATAAATGAAAAAATCTATAAAGCATTTTAGAAATATATATATATTCATATAGAAATATATATATTCATTAGAAATATATATATATATATATATATATATATATATATATATATATATATATATATATATAATATGCACTTAATTAAATGCGTAAGATCATCATTCATCTTCACACAAAAAAATGAAGATGTTAAAGATGAAATGCGAGAGATCTCTGACCCTCCATAGACAGCGAGGGTCCTGAAAGGCACCAAAGATATCCTCAGAACATTTCATTTTTCATTTAGTAAATCAACCACAATTTAACAAAGCAGAAGACTTTTGTGCACAAAAAAACAAATATTAATATAATAAATAAAATATATATTTACCAGTTTCTTCTCTTCATCTGAGCACTGTATGTGTGCCACACTGCGGACGTACAGCAGTGTTTTGATGATTGCTATAGCTTCAGGGTAACCTCTGTGAATGTCCTGATGGTTCATATACTGTTTCACAATTAACAATAACTGTGATTGATTATGGTGTAGGCGAGGCAGTGGCGCAGTAGGTAGTGCTGTCGCCTCACAGCAAGAAGGTCGCTGGGTCTAACCTCGGCTCAGTTGGCGTTTCTGTGTGGAGTTTGCATGTTCTCCCTGCCTTCGCGTGGGTTTCCTCCGGGTGCTCCGGTTTCCCCCACAGTCCAAACACATGCAGTACAGGTGAATTGGGTAGGCTAAATTGTCCATAGTGTATGAGTGTGTGTGGATGTTTCCCAGAGATGGGTTGCGGCTGGAAGGCCATCCGCTGCATAAAAACTTGCTGGATAAGTTGGCGGTTCATTCCACTGTGGTAACCCTGGATTAATAAAGGGACTAAGCCGACAAGAAAATGAATGAATGAATGATTATGGTGTGGTAGCACAGGGGGCTCAGTGGTTAGCACAGTGGCCTCCCACGCAGCAAGCAGGTCGCTTCTTCATACTTCTGAATTTCAAGTTGAGATGTTGTAATTTAAAGCTTTTTTTCTTTAAACATTGACATTTATTTCACAAAATAAAAAATATTTGAATAAATATTGATTAAGCACATCTTCTGGAGTCAAAACATTGGCATTGAGTTGTCTAAAAGGATATACAAGCATGTCTGAAAACACAGAACCTTTTAA